AGCTTGATAGATCTGATACTATTATTGAGAACAACAAAAACAGAATAAATGATTTAGAAGAAATTATTGAAGAACTTGAGGAACTCAAGTTTTTAGAAAATGATATCAGAAAAACATCTTTAAAAAGAGAAAAGGTATAATTTTTATTAACTATATATTCTTCTTTTTCACTCCAATACTTTTATATTATTATTATTAATCAATAGAGTTTTATAGGAAAGAGTTAACAGTGGTAGATTACAAGAATTGGAAAATAATGTAACTGAATATTCTAATCAAATGGTCAGAATTAATACAAAATATGAACTTAATAAAACTTCCATTCAAGAAGAATCAAACAATAAAGAGATATGCTTGGATGATGGATTAGAGGTATTTGTAAATTAATAAACAAATAACCAAAAAATTTTTGATTCTCAAAAAAAACTACTGCTAATTCTTTCAGTAAAGTTCACTAGGGTATAATCAATTAAATAAATAATCTTTTCTATATAGATAGAACAAGGTTTGATACAAAAAACTGAAGAGTACAAAATGCATGAAACTCATTATGAAGAGGCAAAAGAAATCCATGATCAAAAAAATGAACAAGTTCGTAAATCTGAAGAACTTTTACAAACTTTGTCAACTGGTGTTTCTGCTCAAGAAGGTCAGGAAAATGGGTATATGGAACAACTTCAAGGTACATATTTATTTATATATGACTTATATGAGGATAAAAAAAATTGCTCAAGATATATTTTATTATTGTTACTAGAGGTTAAAAGTAATTCAACTCAGGCACTAACTGAAATTGAACAAGCCAAATTAAAAATTCCTCATCTTAAAAAAGAGTTAAAAGAAAAAGAACCATTGGCTACCAAAGCTGCAAGAGATAGTACACGTATTTTATCTGATTTAGAGTCTTCAAGATTGGGAGCACAACAGTTACAAATAGCTTTATCACAAATTGATTGGAATGCAAGTAGAGAAGAAGACTTATTGCATGAAAAGTCCTTTGAAGAATCCAAGATACAAGAATTAACAGATGTTTGTGTTTCCTATTTTTAATATTTTTTAGTAAAATTATTTTTGCACATATGTAATTTTTTTTAATTATTTATTTTTGTTAGAAATATGAATATATTTCCAGTCAATTAGGAAATACTCAGTTTACTTATAAAGACCCTACATCAAATTTTAATAGAAATAAAATTAAAGGATTAGTTGTTGAATTGATTACTTTAGATTCAAAATATGCTGAATGTTCAACCACTTTAGAAATTTGTGCTGGTGGAAGATTATATAATGTACAACAATATTTATTTATTATTGTCATATAGATAGTTGTTGTATTGCTTTGTTTTAATGTAAAAAAAATAACATTTGTTTATTTATTAAATTTCAGGTTGTTGTAGATAATGAAAATGTTGGTACACAACTTTTAGAAAGAGGTCAACTTAAAAGACGTGTGACTATCATTCCACTGAACCAAATCCAAGTATTTAAAATGTCATCTGAGGTAAAAGAGGAAAGGATGTTGTAATTTATGTAATTATATATTAATTATTTTTATTTTTGTAATAGAAACTTGCAACTTCTAAACAAATTTCTCCAGAAAAAGTAGATTTGGCATTAAACTTGATATGTTATGCTAATGAAGTAAAAGCAGCGATGGAATATGTTTTTGGCAATACATTGATTGGCATGGATGCTGAAACAGCAAAATGAGTCACGTTTAACAGGAATGTCCATACTAAATCTGTTACTTTGGATGGAGATGTTTGCGATCCATCCAGTACTCTTCAAGGCAGATCTAAACCCCCCCTCAGCTGGGGTTCTCACAAAAATGCAAACTCTTAAAGATATAAAAAAAGAATTGGAGTCTCATAAGCAAGTTTTACAAAGTTTAAATTTAGAATTAAGAAACTCACAAACTATTATGAATAAATATAATCAAATAAAGAAAGAATTAGAATTGAAATCGCATGCAATTACATTATTAGAAGAACAGATAAAACAAAGTAGTAACTCACAGGTATATATAATTATTAATTATCTGAATAAATAATTGTTTAAATTTTTAAAAAATATTATTATTGTTAGATTATTCAAATTGTTGATAACATAAAATCTCAAATTCATGAGCAAGAGGCTATAATTGTAACTTCACAAAATAAACATCATAATGCATTACAAGATTGCCAAAGAATTGAAGATGAAATGAGAGAGCTTAATGATAACCGTGATTCAAAAATAGAAGATATTAAGGTAAATTTTAAATCAATTGGTTTTTGTTATTATTTATTTACTTTGTTTTAATTTTTTTTAAAAAAAAAAAAACAAAAAGAGGATGGTATCCAAAGGGAAATCTGAATTACCAGAATTGAATGCATATGTTAAAGATATACAACAAAAGTGCAAACTTTAAAAATAGAAATTAGTAAGTTATAAAAATTCTATTACAATAAAGGAATGTATTAAAAAATAGAATGATTAAAGGGGATTTGTCATTATATAATTGTTTAGAGCAACTTGAAGAGGATTTACAAAATGCAAACAAAAAAATAGAAAATTATGATAATAACATTAAGTAATTAGAGAATGAAGCTGATGCAATGAGAACAGAAATGACAACAAATAAGGTTTATCATTGATACTATTCTGAAAATTTTAAGTGTATTATGTTTACAATTATGTTTAATTAAATTCAGAATACATGCCTATATTTTTTAGGAAATGTATGATAATGCTTTAATTGAGTTAGAGAAGGAAAGAGAAAAGTTATCTGCTTTTGATGAAGAACTTGGAGAACTTCAAAATGCATTTAGGGCCAAAACTAATCAATTAAACAACATACAATTGGAAATTACAAACCTTAATCATGAAGTTGACAAAGTACTTCAAGAAAAGGGAATGTCTCAACAAATTGTTCAGCAAATGGAAAGAGGAAATGATTAGATTACACATCAAAAGCAGTAGGTATTTTATTATTATTATTGTTATTATAGTGCATTATCATTGATTTTAGCTTTATTACAATTTAAACCAGCACCAATGTACATTCTTGATGAAGTGGATGCAGCTCTTGATTTATCACATACACAAAACATTGGACAACTGTTACGAACTAGATTTAAAGGATCGCAATTTATTGTAATATCATTAAAAGAAGAATTATTTAATAATGCTAATGTTTTGTTTATTGCAAGATTTAGAGATGGTACATCAATTGTTGAAGTAAGTGGTTTATAATAATGTTGTTATTGTTGTTGTTGTTGTGTATGCTAATTCAAATTCTTTTTTTTTAGAGAAAAACAAGAGCTTAAATAGCTCTTTGGGAAGACTGGGATACACAAGAAAAATATAAAAATAAAAATTGAATATATAAATTTATGTTTTTATATTTTATTAGCCTTTAAAGCAATTTTACTCACATCAAGTGTTTTTACTTGTGTCATTTTTGACTTAATGGAAGCGAATTTGATGTAATAGTTTTATGTGCCAATCATCAAATGCTGCGCCAACTAGTGAAATTTTTCTATGAAAATCATTCCTTTTATGGAACGCGATTTTTAATTCAAATGTATTCCTTTTTTTTTGTTAAAATGCCTAAACGGGACCCCGAACAATCTTAGTAGATGATATATTTGAGGTTTAATAGTAAATCACCTTTTCTCTACCCATTTTTTTTTAGAAAATTATACCCATACCATCCCCAAAAAATTTGAAAAATACCCAAAATTCAAATATACCTATCATTTTTTTTTTAAACTTTGATTTTTTTTTTTAATCGTATTTCTTTTTAATGCATGTTCTAAACAGCGACAACATCACAAAACCATAATAATTTATTTAAGCAGACTCAATTAAAAAAATTCTTTATGAGTGTAGGTACGAGCAGATCATCTATAATCATTAATTGCTTATAGTAACAATTGATCAACTTCAAATTACTAAAACAAAAAAAAATCATATCATTTTAAAAAGCTTAACCGATAAGTTTTATTGTTCATGACTCAAGCTTCAAAACTTATCGGCTGGTTTTTTCTTAAACCGAAAATTTGCTGAGCCTTAGCATTTTGAAAATTCCGAATTTTGTTATACTAATACACTTAAGAAATTGAGACCAAGTAAATTTCGTGTAACAACTTTTTTTTCATAGAATATTTTCTATAACATACATTTGATTTATTTGACTTATTTATTTCCTTTTTTTTATTAATAAATAAAAGTTCTTTACAACAAAAAAGTTTAACGAACATATTACATTAAAAGAAAATCATTACCAAATTTGGTCGTGAGATTCAAAATAGTGTGACACGAAAATTATTGTTGCACTTCTGAGCATAACTTTCAAATTTAAAGCCGAATTGAATGGTGGCGAGTTTTTAAAAATCCAATGTGTGGATCACATAATATTTCAAAAATTTTAACTTTTGAGTATAGATGATCCGCACTGTAGATTGTACAACTTGATTAATCAACCCCAACTCAACTCAAATACAACCCCAACACTCATTTCAACTCAACTCAATTAATTCGTGAATACGGCCATAGTGATATAAACTTGAAAAAACATCTAATCGATCAAAATTGACCTTTGATTTGGGATGTATAAATAAAATAAAAATAAAAAACAAACCGATCCACCTCTCGAATATTTTTTACTTGTTTGCTTTTTGTATTGTATTTCTTTAATTTTGATCATTTATTATTTTGTCATCAACTATGTTCATCAAGTCAGCCGGTGGGGCACATATAGTGACTGGAGTGGCTGTTGTGATAGAAGAAGTATCAATGGTTTCCAATCAGCTGTTTTCATTTCTGAGTGACCTTTTTGGTTCATAGCAAGCATTGTGGATATAAACTCAAAAGGATGGAGAATTAAAGTCTGGAGCCTTTGTTTAATAATAATAATAAAATAGTACTAGGAGCCTTTGTAATATTAATATCGAATTGTTATTTGTGATGATCGACATTATTTTTTTTTTGAACTTACTATTAACAAGATTTTAAGTTAAACGTCGCGACGGCACGTGCACGAATTTATTTGTATTTTAATATTATATATAATAAACAAAGCAATAATAATAAAACAAAAATGACGGATTGTTTTTTTTCGCATGAGAAGGAGTAGTAAACGCCAATTAACTAAATATTAATATTAATATTAACATTAAATTGCTTGTTAAACCTTTTTTTTTTAAAAAAAAAAAAAAAAATTACAAATGCAGAAAAGATAAAAAGCTGGTGATCCCATAAGACCAACAAAACCAAGAAGATACAAACCTGGCACTGTGGCTTTATGGGAAATCAGACAGTATCAGAAAACAACAAATCTTCTTCACAGGAAATTGCCATTTTCTAGAGTGGTCAGTGATCTGGATAATAATTTTAGATGATTTCTAAAAATAGTTGTATAATCGAATAAATATAGGTTCGAGAGATTGCCATGGAAATACTTCAACCGGATTCTCATGTAGGGTTTAGATGGCAATCCACGGCTATTTTAGCACTCCAGGAAAGTAAATTATTTATTTTAATTAATTGAATTCTTTATATAACAACAATAAAAATATATAAATCGGTGTATTATTTGAATATAAATATATAACAACTTATTATTGCCATTAAAATTTTTAATTAGCCACCGAAGCATTTCTGGTGAGGATGTGTATGTTTAATTCAACCCATAAACAGTAATATGATCTTATAAACAATAGTATGATAATAATATTAATAATATTAAAAAATTCTTCTCGTTATTAATCAGAAATTTATGCGCCATCCACGCTAAACGAGTCACATTAATGCAAAAGAATATTCAATTGGCCAGGAGAATCAGAGGAATATGGGGAGGCCTTGGATAGTTATCATGCTAATTAAATCAATTTAAAATTATAATAATTAGTAATAATTAGTTCTATATGATGTATGATCACAGAAAATATAAATACAACAGAATTGTAATAAATACAACAGCATTGCAACAAATTCAAGTGAAATAAAATAAAATAAAAAATTTCTTTTTTTCTTTTTTCTTTAAATTGATCAAAATCACCAAATATTAAAAGTACAATGAAGCATGGAAAAACTATTATTAATATGATAGAGTAAACAAACAATAATAAAAGGTCATGTACTTTGGATTTTTTTTATTTTTTACTATATATAATAATTAAATCTAAAAAAAATAAATTTTCAATATTTACTTCTAGAAAAAAAATTGATAAAATAAAATGTGTATGTGGTAAAGATTCTTACCATAGTATATAAATAAAAAATCCTCATGATGTGTTATTCATATTTAAACATTCTTATAAATATAAAAAGAAAAAAATGAAAAGAAAATAGATAACCATGATTAAATTGTCACACATGCCAAATGATTGATTAAACAATAATTAATCAGTAATATAAATATATTTTAATTTTTTTGACCAAGAACTTTTTCAAAGAAAGCATCTAATTGAGCAATATGTTCATCTTTTATGGTTGCTTCTTTATCTTGATTAAGCGATGCTTCACTTATCATTTTCAATAATTTATCTGGATCATCGTCACTTTGTCTTTGGGTTTGGTTTTGGGTTTTTTGGGGTTGGGGTTGGGGTTGCTGTTGACGTTGTGGTGATTGTGGTGGATATCTTCTTTGTTGTTGAAGATTATTATTATCTTTTGGAGTAGTAGTTAGTAATTTTTTAAGACTTCTATCCACCAAAACACCAAATTTTACAGAATCGGTAATATCCGTTGTAGGCCTATAGCCAAATTTACACATTTCCTCCAAAGCTAATTTAGCTCTTGCATCACTATTCATAACACATTTTCTAATGATTCTCTCGTAGATTTCAATGCTCGGTAATATATCTTTTGATTTCATTTCTTCTAAATATTTAAATGCATCCTCGTAATTTGGTTGATTCAAACACAAAAATATCATACGTCTATAAGTATCAATGTTTGGCTTAAGACCATAAGCTTCCTTCAATTCATTGAAAATTTCTTCGCCCAATTCCTTATGACCAGAGTAGATGGTTACATTTATTAAAGCATTGAATGTATCCAAATCAGGTTTTATGCCAAATTTCTCAATTGATTTAAAGGTTTCAACAGCTCTTTTCAAATCAGCACTATTTGGCATATTGTTAATCCTCTTACAAGCAATAATAATTGCGGTAAATGCCAATATATCAACCTTTTTACCTTCTTTGTGTAATTCTTCTAATGTATAATAAGCCTTGTCAATCAGTTCAGTACTTTTCTCAATATATTTTACAACTGATGAAATTGTTTTCATAGTAGGTACATGATTTGAAGATCTTATAATGTTTAATACATCAAAGGCTTTTTTCAAATCACCTTTAATGACAAATGCTTCAAGATATGGTTCTAAATGATACAATTCCAAATTAACTAACTTGCGAACAGTCTTTAAATATTTAAGTACTTCAGTTGCTAGTTTTGTTTCACCTGACACTGAGGCCAAATTTAATAAATTTATACATAAACCCTCATCCAACCCAAGTCCATCTTTAGTAACAATATCCCAACACTTAATTACGCCTTCCACCTGACACAAAGTCAATAATCAATCAAATTTGAAAAAGATATTATCATTTTTTTTTCGTATAATTTAAATTAATTTTTAATAAAACAAAACTTACATTATATTGATAAGCACAAACTCTTAAAATGTCTAAATACATATTAGGAAATAATTTATAATCATCATTTTCTGACATTTTCATTAATTCAAGCACCATGACATCATCATTACAACCTATAAAACCTTTAATGACCTTTTGATATAATCGAAATGATGGTTTAAGACCTTGTTTTTTCATTGTTTTAAAAAAATCTATTGCGCTTTCAAATTCATCATTCGCTATCATTGCATCAATATAATATTCATACGTAGTTTCATTTGGTTCAAGTTGAAATTGATTTATTAAGTCAAAAGTAAATTCTCGAAGGCTTGGATCTTGTCGAAATATGATGGTTTTTTCTGCACATGTCTTTTTTTTAAAAAAATAATTATTAATGTTAGAGAAGAATTCAATGAAAATTTAATAAACTTGATTTTTATCAATTTCAAAAACATTATTACCCACTGAAAGCTTATTTTTTCCTCTTGGAATTATATAATAATGACGATGATAATTATTATTTATTTACCTTCAATATAATATTAATTGTTTCGAGATTAGGTTTAATACCGCCTTCTAGCATATCATGTAAAATTTTTGTGGTTTCAATTGAATCAGCATATCTTGAATAAGCTTCTAGAAGAATATTATAGGCTGTAGCACCAGGTTTAATATTTTTAGATTTCATTTCTTGAAAAATATTATTCAATTTTGATATATTATTTCGACTTTTTGTTAGCTCCATTAATGGATCATAATTAACAAATTCGTTTTCATTGATAAGTGGTTTTGGAACAGTAGCAGGTGAAAAGGATGATGAATCCTTCAATGTGGGCGTAAAAGAAGTGGTGGTGGTGGTAGATGTAGAGGATGGTATGGGGATTTGCTCTTGCGCATTTGTAACTTCAATTGTTGAATCAAAACAAGGTATTGCTAATTATTTTTGAGGAAAAGAAAAATAAATAACTTATTACTAATTAAACTATTAATTGATCAATCGACTTATTTGTTTGTTTGTTTTACTTTATTGATTTCCTTTAAAAAAAAAAAGCTTACTTCTGAAAAAACGTACTGAATTTACATTATTATCCTTTGTATTTATATTATCCTTGTTAAAATAAAATTTTGGTAATTTCGTTACTTGTAAACTAGAATCTCTTGAAACGAGGAATTTATTAAATTTTGTTAAATTATAGATTTTATTAATGTTTCTTGCTGTCATTACGTACAAGTTTCTTTATTTATATATTTTTTTACGGAGCGAAAAATTCACGTGTGGAATTAAGATAAAAAATTATTTGATCAAGATCCCTAATTTACATTTGATTGGTGAAATTTATTGAATGTTCTTCCTCTTTTCCTTATGTTACCTGATTAGATTATTTTGGGTAAAAGTACAACAATAATAAATTAATTGATGTCATCTATTAAAGACATTATTATTATAATATTTATTATAATATGATGATATTGTGATTAACTTCCACATCCTTCTTTTTTTATTCTTAAAAAATTTCAGGAGAATAATTTATTTTTTATCACAGGTACCAGACAGATTCTTTTTTTATCATATTAATAATAATTAGATAGAATTATATATATGTATTATTATATATGTGATTAAAAAATTTAATTTTATAAATAAATATATTTGTTTAGGAAAAAAAAATTTTTTTTTTGTCAGTAAAGTTTTCGAAAATTTGTTTCATTTTTAAACATCAAAAAACAAAAAGCATTAATAAAATATAATTACAAGTAAATTATTTATCTCTCTTTTCATTAACTTTGTTCATTCAATAAAAACACTTTGAACTGCTCCAACGCGTTCAGTTTTAATTATTATATAATTAATGTGATAAGCCACCACTACTAATTATAAAATTTTTTATCTTTTTTTTTATACGAAAAATCTTTTTCTTTTATAGTTCGCGTTTGACTGAATTCTCCACTATTACTTGAAACATTAAATCAACTAACCTTTTACAGCCATTATTACTAACAAAAATGTCTAAAACTGAATGTTATTTCGATGAGGAAGAGTATGTTTGTCCACTTTGTATGGAGGAAATGGATATATCGGACAGAAATTTCAGACCATGTCCTTGTGGATATCAAGTAAGTTATTTAAGAATTATTGGAATTAATTCTATCGTGGTTATAATTATAAATCAATCAATTGAATAAAATAGTTTTAGTTTAAATAAATTTATCATGGTGTAATTTTGGATATATGTTTATTAATTTTATTATTTATTGATCGTAATCTTTTAAAACAAATAAAGATCTGTAGATTTTGTTGGCATCACATTAAAGAGATATTAAATGGGTTATGTCCAGCATGTCGTAGAGTATATTCTGAACAAACAATTGAATTTACACCTATATCGCCTGAAGAGTAAGATTTTTTAATTGTTTTTTTGCATTCGTAACAGTTTAATTAATGTTAATAATATTTAGAATTTAATAAAGAAAGTGAAAATATATAATTAATATATATATATATATATATATATATATATATATATCAATACACCATTATCTATATTATACATTTATATTATATGTTATTTAGGATGGCAAGAATAAAAAACGAAAAGAAGCAAAAAGAACGCGAGAAGAAAGAACTTGAGGCAATGAACAGAAAACATCTAGCCAATATGAGAGTTGTTCAAAAGAATTTAGTTTATGTTATTGGTATAAGTCCGAAGATTGCTAACGAAGAGGTAGGCGATGATAATGATGATGATGATTATTATTATTATTAATAAAATTCAACATCCAAAAATATTATTTATTATCCATTTAATTATCATTATCATTATTTACAAGTAAATAATGTTTATGATCTTGAATAATCATAATTAAAGATATTACGATCGCATGATTATTTTGGACAATATGGTAAAATTGCTAAAATTGTGGTGAATCGTCGAAACCCCCCACCTTCCAATGTTCCCGGTGCTCCTCCACCTCAACCAAGTGTTGGTGTATACATCACTTATGTAAAGAAAGAAGATGCTGCAAAGGCTATAGCTGCTGTTGATGGAAGTGTATCTGATGGTAAAATACTTAGGTAAATTCTTTTATTTATTTGTATCTATATAATTTATTACTTTATTATTATTCATCTGGAAATAAATTTGTTAAATTATTATTTATTAAAAAAATTTTTTTAGGGCAAATTATGGCACGACAAAGTATTGTACATATTATCTACGAAACATGGTATGTCAGAATCCGAATTGTATGTATCTGCATGAACCTGGCGAAGAAGCTGATAGTTACACAAAAGAGGATTTAGCTTCGGCGTAAGTTGTAAATTTCATGAGGATTTATATGTGATAAATTCATGTACTGGATTCAATTAAAATTGCTAAATACATTTATACATAGTAGATATAGTCTCAGAGAACATTCAGCAGCGACAGAATCACACAAGCCAAATCAATTAGGAAAGCCGCCTTCATCTGGTCCAACTCCTACACCAACACCATCAACAATCATTTTTCCAACTCATAAAAAACCTGATTCAGCACCCTCATCGACTTCAACAATACATCCATCCTCTCATTCAAATTCACAACCTTCACACATATCTACACATCCACCTACACATCCACAATTAACGCATTCCGCTTTACATCGTTTAGAAAATGATAAAAGCACTACTAATGAGGATAAAGATGATGGTATGTATCATTTATCAAAAATTATTTTATATATTATTTTTTTTCTTTTTTTTAAAAAAATTTTTTTAAAAATAAATTATCATTATTATTATTTCAAAGCACCTGCATTACCTCCAACTGCTTCTTGGGCTGCTAAACCATCAAGTCAAGAAACAACTCCAGTTCTTAATAGCCAACATTTAAATCAATCTTCAAATCAATCTATATCACATTTAATACAAACAGCAAATTCATCATCGTCATCACATTCTACAAATAGTAGTAATAATAATAATAGTAGCAGTAATAATAATAATATACAATCACAACAACAACCACCAATTTCATCATCATCATCATCATCTACAACATCTACTATAACACCTCCGCAATCATTATCATCTACATCAATCCAAGAAAGTAAACTAAAACGAACCAGTCTTTTAGATGTACAACCACCAAATTCTAAAACAAATAAAAAAATCGAACCCAACTCCACCAATAACACCACCACTAATAATATTATAAATTTACTAAATACATCCATCAAAAAGAACGAATCGCCAGATCATAATAATAATGAAAATCTTCAACTACTATCACAACCACCGCAGCAACTGATTCAACAAATTCAGTCAAATCAATCCAACCATTCGAATAAATCTAATCAACAAACTCAACAAACTCAACAAACTCAACCATCTACTCAATCAATCCAACAAATACCACAATCAATATCATCATCATCGTCATCATCGTTTCAACAACAAAAACAAAAACAAAAAAGTGTAGATTCTGCTAATGAAGATAAAGAACAATCAAAAAATGAAACCAAAGCAACCGTCAGAGACTCTTCTCAATCAATCGAAAATTCCATAAAACAACAAAAGATTAAACAAAAACCAGATTTAGTTGCTCAATTAGACAAGACATTATCTGCCCTTAGTGGTGGTTCATTTTCATTTAACGCGCCATTATTAGAATCCGATCCTCTAATAGATGATAAGCTTAGTGATAGTATTTCTTCAATTGTCACAGATAGTAACGGTATAATTAATGGAACACATATTGTTGCACCTCCACCTGGAGTCGGTTTCCCCAGAACAGATATCGTTTCGCCAACTTTTACTCCTACGTCCGATCTCCATCAACAGCCACAAATTCATTATACCGGCTCATTCAATCCGTTTGCAGCCGATGATGATAAATTCGATGTGTTCATTCCTGAAAGTAGTTCATCATCATCACCATTGACTGCTCTTGGCTTACCATCAATTGGTGGTACTGGTGGCGGTAGTGTATCATCAACAAATTCCTACTCAACTGATCCAAGACTTATTTCACATCAAATTAATAGTAATAATGTTTCTTCGAGGCCTAGACATACGTCGCGTTTTGGTTTTGCACAAGAGGACAATGACGGTTCTAATTTGGATCCTTTATCAATGAAAGATTTACAAGAGGATTTAAGAGCCATTTTTCCTAATGCTAAAGTAAGTTATGGACCTAGTGAGATTCATCAGGAATCCATGTGGAGTTTGGCAAATGAATCTGGTGCTTTCGGAGGATTGCCAATCAGGCGTAGCTTAATTCCAACAGCATCAACATCATCTGTAGCTTCGATAAACAATACATTAAATCAAACTCAAAATCTTCATGGTGACAATACAAATAACGGTTTAGATCTCTCTTATCATCAAAATATATTGATGCAGCAACCACCACATCATCATCATCATCAACAGCACCAACACCAACAACCACAACCACAACAACATCATCAACATATTAATGCTAGTGTTGGTAATCCAGTAGCTCCAAGTATTAAAGCACCACCTCCAGGTATTTATACACCAACACCTCGTATGGATTATGGTGTTGGAGCAACAGGTGGTGGATGGAACCCACATAATACTACACCATGGAATTTTGAAGAAGATTATAATATACGACCAATTTCACTTCAAAATCCAAACTTTTTACAAGGAGCTGCCACTACTGCAACAGTCAGACCTGCTAGAGATGATACACAAGATTTTTTTGGAGCATTTTTAAAAGCTGCAGTTGGAAACACAAACACACATGAAGATATTCATAATGAGGGTTTGTAATTGATCGATCGATTGATTTTCAATCAGTGACAATGATTTAATCAAATTTTTCTTATGATATTAATGATGATAATAACAATCATAATAATTTTATTAAACAATTAAATATAAATAAATGGATATTAATAAATAAATATAGCTGAACCTGTTCCTAATATCCTTCAAGATCCTGCAATTATGACAGTTCGTTTTTCACAACCTGGCGAAAATCCATATAGAGCACCAGGAGCACCAGGAGCACCACCTATGATTCCCCAACAACAATATCAGCCAATGCAAAATGTTGGAGCTCATCGATTAAGTGTGTTTGAACGAGTGGCAAGAACAGGAGAAGATCAGATTGGTAATGGTTACGGTGTAGGAATTGGATTGGGTAATGTGGATGCAGGTGGGTTTTCTTCAATGCTAAGTGGTCGAGGTTATTAATTCCTTATCAATTTTGGTAAAAAAAATAATAATTATAATAATTAATATAATAATAGTAGCAGTAGTAATAATAATAATAGTTAGATATCATTCAATAAAGGCAAATATAATGAAATTGAAAAAAGATTCAAAGATTAGTTAATAATTAAATAGGAAGATTATCATCATTATTATATTATATATTTCATCATTATCATCATCAATATCAATTAATTAATTAATTAAATAAAAAAAAATAGAAAAGGATTAATTTCATATTATTAAAAAAATATCGCGTGTTTCTTCCTCTTTTTTTTTTTTCCTGATATATCGTTATGGTGTATTTTGGTGTAATGTTTTTTTAATTGGTTATGAGATAGCATTCAAACAAAAAAAAAAATAATTCGAATGGGCACAATTATATTTTTTTTTTTGGGGAAGGTCTGTTCAAAATCATCAATTTTTTAAATCTTTTTTATACATATATATCCTTTATAATTATTTTTATTTAAATTTTTAGGGGGAAAAGGTTTTATAATTAATTTATCAGGAATATATTTAATAACGTTTTATAAAACTTTTTTCTTTTTACAATTTTCCTCAACACACACATCCCTTTCTCCTTTCTCTACCGTTAACATTCATTTTTTGTCCTTTCTCTTTACATAATTAAAATACCTTTTTGTTTCAATGATATGTATATATGTGTGTGTTATGTGTGGCCTTTATATATATTTATACATGCACACACATATATTTATATTCTATTCTTTCTTTACTTTTGCAAAAAAAAATTGTATCTACCTACCTACCTACCTACCTACCTACCTACCTATAAATACATACATGCATATAAAATATAGGCCCAAAAATTAACGATTCAAAAGAAATAAAGAATAAATCCATTCTTTCGGAACGACCCAATACTGCTTCTGCTGCTATCATTAACACTACAGATACGACGACGACGACGACGACGACGATGACATCTCCACCACCATCATCAACATCAACATCATCTATATCTACATCGACACCAACACCAACGCCAACATCATCACCGTCATCATCATATGTCATATCGTCAATATCTTTTCCAACGTTATCACCAACCACTAACGTTGATATTGTTACTACCAATGTTAATAGTAATAGTAATAATAACGATTATGAAACTTCTATTATTGAAAAAGGAAAAAAAAAATCCAAGGTTAAAAAGAAATCTACTAATAATATCAGTAATACTACCAGTACTAATTTTATTACAAATAGCAAAAACACCAATAACGTTAACAATAATGATAGCAGTAATGATAATGGTGATATCAATATCATTACCGGTAATAGTGACAATAACAACAGTAATTGTAATGATGGAAAAGGTGATGATGATGTGAGTAGTTTAGCAATTAATCAATCAACCAAATCTAATACTGCAAGAGTCTTATCAAAAGACTCTAATAATAGTAATGATAATTCTTATCGAGAGAAACAACAACAGCAACACATAAAGAACAATTCATCGTCATCATCGTCATCATCGTCATCATCATCTAAAACAAAATCATCGAAACGTAAAGATAAAAATTTAAGAAACACTGCTTCAATAAATAATAACAACAAGGAAACAAAGAAAAATGTTAATATTGAAGGTGTGGTAGTAAATGCTAAAAATAATATTGATGATTACAAGTCTAGTGAAAGCAATTCCACTAATAAAACTACCACAACAAAAGTTGCTAGCACAGCAACAATTGATCCTACACCGCCTATACTTTCTAAAAAATCAAAAAAGAAAACCAAGAATACAGCATCAACAAAATCAGCAGCAACATCGTCGTCATCTACTACTTGTAATAATAATATTCAACCATTTGACAAAAAAGAAACGACAAAACAATCAAAGCCCAACAACAATAACAACGATAATGAGAGCAAGGATGACAATAAAAATAATAAAAATTCTGATTCAAATAATTCAACAACTTCTACAAACATTAATAACGATGAAGAATGTGACGATGATGTAAATTCAACAACATCAAAGACGACGAGAACAAAAGATGATGAATCTAGAAAAAACTTTAATAATAGACCAAATATTATGACATTTGTTAATGAAATAAATAAAATAAAAACTGTTAATGATATACACAGATTAAAAGCTTTTAATTTTAACACAGATTTTAAATTTGACTTTTCTTCTTCGGGATTGTTTTATGGGACAAAATCTGAAAAAGTTGATGAATTCTTTATCACTGATGACAACAAAAGTAATAATAACGACAATAAGAAAAACAGCAGCAATAGCAACAACAACAACAACAACAACAACAACAACAACAACAACAACAACAACAATAATAACAACAACAACAACAACAACAATAATACTGGCAAAAGAAATAGAAATAAAAACAAAAATAAAAAGAAAAATAATGTGGACAAGGAAGTTATTTCCGATCAAAATCGTCAATCAATTTTTTGTAATTTATCATCATCATCATCATCAGCACCTTTTAGAAAATTTGAATTTACCGCTTCAACAACAAATGATTTGTTACCTAAAGAATTTAATTTCAACGTTTCGACATCATCTCCTCCTCAACCTACTTCTTCGTCGTCATCATCACCATCACCATCATCATCTATTTTCAAATTTCCAAACACTTTTTCTCCTACTTTCACTGCCACTAATATTAACATCAAAAATATCAAAAATAACAATAAAAAAACCCACATTGGTAAAAACAATAATACAAATTCCAGTGATAACAACAATAATAATTCCACTAATAATAATAAAAAAACTAGGAAAATCAGTTTGCCTGATCTTGATATTCAAAAATTACTTCAGAGTATGATAAGTAGTGATACTGAAGAAGATGATGACGACAACGACGACGACGACGACGAAGATGATGATGACACAGAATCAAATAATTTTAGTGAAACAATAGATCTCTATAGTGATACTAACAATAGTGGTAATAGTATTGGCACTAGTGTTCTTTCATCTAATAACAATAACGAGAATAATGGTAATAATAGTAATAGCAGCAGTGTGATGACGACGGCCACACTTACTTCAGTTGAAGATCTTGAGAGGCAATTAGCAAATGCTAAACGAGAAGCACTGATGCTTGAGAATCGTTTGAGAGCCGTAATAAAAAAGAATAGTCATCTTCAGGAAATTGGAAGAAAATGACTTTGATATTTCATCAAATTAATTTATTTCTTTGAAATCACAATGGCATAATTTAGTTTGTTATTATTAATAATGGTCCTTCTCGGATTAATCTTTGATAATGTTTAATTTTTCTTATATATTTGCCAATTATATTATTATATTTAAATGCCAAAAAAAAATATTTATTGAATAAAATTTAATTTAGTTCGCTATAATAATCACACTATATCGATTGCAATAATGTTTTTAAAAGGCTTTGTTCTCTTAATTAATTAATATTATCCTTCACATTTCCAACTTTAAAATAATGATGATTTTTAAAATCCTTTTGTCTTCCTACTCCTCGACTTTGTTAAACTAGATAATCTATGGAGTTGGGAAATCTTGAATAGTTAATCGTGTGCACATGTTGAATTGATGTAATTCTATTTCAGGGTTGGGCAAATTGACTAGTCCATTGCCGTTAATAAAATACTAAATATGGTTAAATGTTACGCGGGTCTATTTATATATATCGGCCTTTTTTTTTACTGTTTCTATAAAGCCCAAATGAACCTTCTAAAGAGTATGAATATAAAGTTAGTAGTTGCAATTGTAAAATGAAAAGGTTTAATTAATAGAATTCAATCTATGCTTATTGACTATTTTAATAATATGTGTGTAGAATTTTCTCTTCGCGTATACCGAAACCTCATTATAACAAACATAAGTGTCCTGATAAAAATTTCATTATATAGTGGTTTTACTGTATATATACCACTGTCAAAGTCTTGCTTTTTTGATATCAATTTTAATATTGGATCCATGACAAGTTGACCCCATGTACCCTCCAAGAGTATTTTTTATGAATTTTATATTTCCAATAAGAAGAACCTAAAAATAAAAAGAAGGTGAGACAACAGGGATATAAACAAAAAGGAATTATGAAAAGATTAGACTTACAAATGTTTACAAATATCTCAGATGAAGAAATAAAATGGTTGACATTGATCATCATTGTTTATAAAAGATGGCGTTATGATGATTTTGGTTCAGTTATCCAAACAAAATTTGTTAAAAAGTTTTTGAAGGTGTGATGGCGTTCCAAGATAGAATTCAGGTATCATCAAATATTGGAGAAATCATCTTCGAAATTTCTTCTTTTGTATCAGTCAAACGATATATGTCACAGGAGGTGTAATTACATATATAAAATAGAAAATCCGACTCGTGTAACAAATCAGTTTTTTAAAATATCTCATTGTTTTTATAACAAATTCAAACATCATTATTAATCAAAGATAAAACTAGGAATGAATTTTTAAAATCACTACTTACAGTTGATGTTTATAGAAGAATAGAGAATCACCTTGAAGAACAAGTAAAGTTTACAGGTGAAGTATACATTAAGTTTACACACTTTATCAATATTACATATACACCAGATAGGAAAAGTCTCAGTGATGCTCTGATCCGTGGTATATACTGCATTTTCATGTAAACGAAATCAACAGGGAGTAAATATCATTATACCTATATATAGGCACTCTTGATGAAAAGCTTAGCAAAGATCATATTTCATATGTACTAATACAAGTTAAAAATTGGTCTACAGATAATAAAGGTGATGACTATCTACTCTCTACAACAGCTTCACTGTCACCAGCATATATAGGCATCGAGGAACTTCCACATATGCCATTTTTGTCATTGTATTTGCAATTAGGTGCAACAAAAGAGTTTATTGATGTTCCAACAGAATTTTTTGAATCACCTCAAACATGTCAAATTGCTTTGTGCAAGCATAAATTGAAGAAGTTTTGAAAGATTATCAAACAGATGATGATGAAGCAAGAGAAAATTTTATTAAGAAGATTAGAATTGATGACAATAATGATGCCTCAAATGCTGAAATCACAGCATTCTGTGAACATTTTCAGATGCCACTTGCATTATTTGGATTATCTTCAAATATCTATAGTTGTTTGAAACAGTTTACATCAAATCCCACAACCTCATCATTAGATTTCACAAGTAGCTTTAAGCAATTATTGACTGCTTGGGTTGATCCCACACTTGGAGAATGTCCAGAAAAAATGAAGATAATTAAACATATGGAACCATTGGTATACAAGATGGAGTAATAAATTATTTATACTATATTTTTATATTGACATTGTTTTAGCATAACCATAATTTGTTTATTTTATTATAATTTGATACAAGCTACACAAATGATAAAATATAGAATTAATGCATAGATTCTTGATTATGTATCATAATAATTCATAATAAAGAGTGTTGCAATAATAGGATTGATTGTATTGATGCTTGACCTGTTCACAAAAATTATAAACTAAATCATGAATATCAAATTAAATTTATATCATATTGCATGCTAATCTTCCAATTAGATATTCTTATAATGTACTTTAAAATAAAAAATATTTTCAATTGAAGAATGTTATATTTGTTTATTATCTTACCATGATTTTATTAATGGATTTCTAATAGTTTGTTTGTTTAGTTTGTACTAAAACCATATTTTTTAGAACTTTTAACTTCCAGCTAATTTTATAGCTACTTTTTTTAACAAATAATTTTTAAAAAAACCTTACAAAGTGAACATAAAATTATATATATAGGGATAAGTGTATATATATGAAAAGTAATAAACATTATGGTTCTAATGAATATCAAAAAGAATTTATTTTTTAGAAAAAGGTTGTAATTGTGGTTGTTCTTCAAGAATTCCCAAGGAAGAATTTTCAGAATTAAGAGAATCTTTTCAAGCTCTTTCCAAGTCTGAACAAGACATATTTTTGATGGCCCAACTTAAAGCAATGGATGGTGGATCTATAAGCACCAGCAGACACCTTAAGAAGAAAACCAGATCTAATAAAAGAACTTTCTATCACTGGGATCACAATAAACTTTCTCAAGAAACTTATCTCAATATGTTGGGGATTGGCAGAACTTATTTTGAAAATATCAGAAATCATCTAATAAACAATGGACTTATATCAAGAGTTCATGGCAATATAAAGAAGGTGCCTCAATAAAAAACCAAGATGGTAATTGATAAAAATATTGCTGAAGTAGTAAAAAACTTCCTTGAAAATTATGCAGAAGTTCATGGATTACCAAGTCCAGGAAGAAGTAACAATAGAATAACTCAATCAGTTACATTTTTACCAGCTGAAATGAGTTATAAATCTGTGCACAAAAATTTTCTGGCTGGTTTAGAAGAAGATAGTAATTTAAAGTCCTTGAAGTATGATTCTTTCAGAAAGTTATGACATCAATTGACACCAGAAATTCAAATTATGAGTCCAAGAACTGATTTGTGTGATACTTGTCAACATTTTAGAGATGGTTTACATTATAATGCTCACCAAGAAGAAGCTAAAGATTTGCTCAAAAGATTTAAAGAACACTTGTCCAAAGCCAAACTAGAAAGAAATTATTATAATAAAAATACTAATTTAGCAGAAGAACAAAGAAAACTAGTTGATCAACATTATTCCAAGAGTAAAACACAGTATTGCAGCATTGATGCTACTGCTCATTATAGTTATGATTGAGCCCAAAATGTTCATGTGCCACAT